GGTTGTTATGTCAGAGAAAAAAAGCATTGCCCAAACTACTTGAATATGGAGAAATTTACTGTGCTTCTGGCTCGATTAGAACAGATTAGCGCATTAGCAATATTTTTGTTAAAATTAACAATGGAATATGGTTTTACAAAATGAGATAAAATTTGGTTGTTGTGGAAAAACTTGATAAGTATATCATTATACCTTAGAGCATGGTATAAAAACAGGTGAATTTATTTGGTGAAATTTACCTTCCAGTTTTGTATTTTTACAAAATGAGCGGTAATAAGAACTGTAATTTTGAAAACCAGAATTTCCATAAACCTTACCATAAATTTGAAAAAGTACCAAATAAATGTTTAAATACCGTACATTTCGGGTTTTAATACCATAACTATTTCTTTTAAATCAGAAATGTCATTACCGTACGTTACATTAATTTACCAGAAATTTCTCGTCATGCGTAATTTATATGGGACCTAAAAATTTTGCGCATAATTTTTTGATCTTAACGTAAATAAAAAAAAATATTTTGAATGAATTATTCTTTTAAGTGAGCAGAAAAATAATTAAGCACCGAAGTTTTAAATATCGAACATTGCCCAATTGATAATACATTTGCAAAAAAATAATTGATCATTGGGTGCCTTACCACCGTTTCTAGGTTTTAATATTTATTTTACTTCCTTACAAATTGAATTGACAATTTCTAATTCAGCTTATTCGTTGATTCAATGTTTTGCTCATTTACTAATATAAGGTTTCAATGACTTACTCACTTACTAAAATTTCTATCTTTAATCACTACTTTTCAGATTTAGATACTTCGATATATTTAGCAACCAATTTGCTAGTTTTTGTTCCTTATTCACTTGTATTATCTCCATTCAATCAAGCTACTTGTTCATATAGCGACGCAGAATATATAAAGAAGTCTTAATTAATTATAAAAAAATGTCAACATCTCCTAAAACTAAAATAGATTTACAAACCCTTAAAAAACAATAACAGGCATTCATAAATAATATAGAGCCTAGAATTTCTTGAATTCAGACAGACCAGAAAACAAACTTCAAATATGGCCATAAAACTATTTGTTCAAAAGTAGCGTCAGAATGCCGTCGGCAACAAATATTGAGAGTGCATACGTTGTGTGAACAAAATGTTTGAGAGGTTGCGTTTCTTTCTATTTGTTATAGATTTCTAGGACTCATGAAAAAAAAAATAGTTGAAAAATGCTTGAAATAAAATTTGAAAATGTCTTATAGGAAGTTTTACCCTAGACGGTGCACTCTGTGCTACTTTTCTTCACACTCTTGAACAAATATTGGGTACAAATAAAACCTTTATTCTGTACATATATATAGTTATATATACATAACAAAAAACTGTCTAGAAAGTAATACAGAATATTGTTCTTAAACTAGAAATTTAAATTCTTCATGTAAGTAGAATATACTAAGAAAATATTCAGGCGAAAAATAAACAAATAAATACCAGCATGGTAAAAACATTTCTGATTTAAAAAGAATATCAAGAATTCTGTAATAAACTCCAACACTTACGGTAACTATTACTTTGATATTTTTTTTATTCGTTATAGTAATGGTTTACCGGAAATTTTGTTTCGCTAATATTCGCAAATATAATATAGTTCTTATAACCTACACATTTGGTACAAATGTTACCCTGTAAAATAAATTTAACAGAAAGAATAGTTTTCACGCCATATTCTGAAAAATCACGATGAAATTACCAGACTGTTGGTCGGAATGTATAATTCATTTTACCATTTATTTGGTAGTTTTAAGACTGTGATGGAGATGCTTTGTTTCAAAGCAAATGACAATCGAGCTTATATTTTGCTTTCTCTGTTTTTTATATGGTTTAGATCATAGGTATCTAACCTTTCGTGATATACCGCCCACTTTGCAAGACAAACTTTTTAAACACTCCTTAAAATTTTTTAAACTTATGCTTAAGTAACTGATTTTAATAAAATAACAACTTTTACATTCTTTATTTTCGATTTGGTACTCTTTTAATCATACTGTTAGTTTATTGAAAATTCCTATTAACCAACAATTTTTCATTTGGAAATTTTTTTTTATGAAAGTTGCCCTTACGTAAAAAATGATTATTAGTTATTATCTTCTAAGTAAAGCTTAAAATTATTTTAAAACAAATAATAACTTTTGAACTTCTTAGCGTGAAACATTTTTTATGTACAACAGCAAGCAAAGTGTTACTTACTTTAATGACTACTAATTCATGACTAAAAACATTATAACTACATTAAAACTTGTTAATACATTATCATGACTTAATCTTGCAATTCATAATAATATTATTACTTGTCAAGTGTACTCAATATTAAAAAAAAAAAATTACTTCTGTCAGTTTCTAACCATTCTCTAGGACTTTCAATGACCCCTAGAAGTCCTTAGCACCCACTAGGGGCAATCGCACCTACGTTTGGATCCTATGTCTTAGACAATGGTGAAACTCTATTGATGCAATTGACGGAAGTTACATGACGTAATTTTTAACTATAATTCCTTTCCTTTTTCTTTCGCAATTATTTATTTTCCTAATATATTCTCAATCACAACAGAAGGCATGAAAAATTCCTTCAAGTGTTAAATTGTTAAAGGTTCAAGTTCAACTCAAGTGTTAAGTGTATTAAACATACTAGACTCTTAAGGCCATTATTATATGTGCTGGATAATGATATTAATTCCTTCTGTATTGTCTCCCTCTGACGTAGAGCAAGGAAACATTAACCTTACAGGAAAATGGCGACAACTGTAGCACAAAACATTGATATAAAACAAACTTTATTTTAATTAATTTTGAGGCATTGAATGAGAATATATTTATTTATGTTCCTGTTGTTAGATATTATTAAATATTAATATGTAGGTAGGTATTTTATTTACGTCGCACTGAAGTTGCCCAATGGGCTAATGGCGACGGTCAGGGAAGCATTCCTGAGGATGATCCGAAGACATGCCATCACAATTTTGATCCTCTGCTGAAGGGATGGCTACTCTGCTTGGTAGCAACAACCTTGCGCGATCAAGGATCAATACCGCATGAGGATCAATAACGAGGATCAATACCGCACACGCTCGGTCCCTACGCAGACTGATCCGAGTGGTCACCCAACCGCACACTGACCGCAGCCAGTGATGCTTGACTTTGGTGTTCTACTGGGAGCCGTATCTTTACGATCAGTCCACTACTGGACAAATATTACTATGTATTACATTATGTTATTTACATTATGTCTGATTTCATTCTTGTAAATATTTGCGTAATATCTGTATTAAGTTTTATTTCCCTGATTTTGACTCTTGATATTATCACAAAATTGTGCGAATTGTGAATAGTATTTTTATTTTGAATAATTTGAATAATTAAAAAAAAATATTTATTTAGCCCAATGCATTTAAATTATAACATTTGTAATAGTAGTACTGATACTATTCTTTTTGCCATCTGTGGTTTAAAATCCAGTAAATTGCATTATTGATATTAAAATAATAAAATTCAGTAAATTGCATTATTGATTTCAATTAAGTAGAATTTTTTTTTAATTTAAATTAAATTTTTTGAAATATTGAGCTAAGAAACACATTTGAAAATCAATGTAGTTATGCATCTTGAGACTGTAATAAAATCAATAATAAATTGTTAAATAGAAATAGAGAAATTCAAAAATGAATTTAAAAGCAAATTTTTCAGCAACTTTTAAAAATCGTGTCAACATTAATCAATGCGTATCATCTCCTTTTCCAGAAATAGTGATGTCATTTTTTACCAATAGCGTGAGCTTCGAAATCTAATCTCTCGTAAATTAACGGTCCCCATTGGACGACTAAATATAAAAAGTGGAGATTCAAAAATTATTGCCAGTCAGAGCAATTTCCCTTTTTTTCTTCAAAAATTTACCCCATTTGCATTTTATTACTAGTATTACTTTTTGGAAAAATGGAATTATTATGAATATTTTGCGATGTACTGAAAATTATTTTATCTAACGCTTGTTTTTGAAAAAATTTCCTTTTTTTAGAAATGAACCTTGTAATACATTTCGAGAAATGCTTGAAAAGGAATCTTACATTATTCAACAGTTTTCTTAATAGTTTAAATTTTTTAATTTGCGAAAAATTATGTCGTGTTTTAAAATGGGACCGCATGTTTTAAAAGTAAGCCACATGTTTTAAAAAGTGGACACTGTTAAAAATGCCATGACAGGCCACTGGACAGCCTCGAAATTTTCTAATTTTGCACTATAGTATGTGTTGTATTTAATAGAAAAGATTTCCTTTTGCCTAGATGCAATGTAGAAGAAATTTTCTATTTTCTACAATTTATCTATCGTAAGCATCCTCGTTTAACTCAAAAAACAACATTGATAAAAAAGTAATGCTTATAAACAATTTAATTAACAAATATTTCAAGTAACTGCATTCATTTGGACCATTCTAAGGAAATGAGTTCATTACTAGTTCCAACCAGGATTAGTTTTACTTGTATCACTTAAAAAGAAAAAAAAAGCAAAGAGGCAAACGTTTATTTAAAGAAAATGTTAAAAAATATCTTATCAATTATTAAATGTTGTTGTCGTTGGCCATTAAGACAGAGGGGGTGCGATTGTTCTTGTTTTCCAGTGGAGCCATCTATGGTGAAGAATTCGATTTCCCATGTCACACCCGTTCATAGGGCGGACCCATTCATACATCCATTCATTTATCCACAGATCGTAATTTTGACCTAAATCAGAGAAGGACGAATCTCCAATTCAGTACCCCCGGAGGTATTGATTTGTTATGGGAAGATGGAGGACATTGTGACGCACCAGTCACCATTTACTACACGGGAAATCTTTAGCAGACTGGATTCGAACTCCCGTTCTGACAAACGTGAGTCCAGCTCCCGGCCAACCAAGCTATCTCGGCCCTATCAAATGTTAAATAATAAATGAAAGTATGAAATAATTTTCTTACCGGCCTTTGAAAAATGCAATATAGATGAGTGAAGAGTACATGTTAATGAATTCAAATAAAAACATCTTAAAAGTGAAGCTATCTTCATATTCTCTTTGTGTGCGAGGTTGTTCTGTAAAAATAGAGTGAAAAATTATTGAAAAAAAATACATGAAAATAATTCAGAAACTGCATAAAAATATAATGCAAATCTCACCTAAGTTTGTTAATTTGGCAGTAAGTTCTCTGTAAACCTGTAAATAAAAATAAATGTTTTACTTCAAAACCAGCTTAATACATTTTTAAAAATTTTGTGTTTAAAAGTGTGTTTAAATGTTTTCTACAGGCATGCGAAATTAGGAAACGTTTCTAAAAAAAGCGTTTTGTTATCTATGCATATATTTCTCTTATTTTGCACCATTAACTCGGATATTTCTATATCTGTTGGCAGCATTATAGTTGTTATTCATTTTGTTAGGTTGTCTTAAATAATAATTTGCATAGTATTAATTTTTTTTAATACGTTGAGAATTTAGTTAGAATTATTCTGCTAGGTTGGCTTAGGTAATAATTGAAGCAGTGTTGAACAGTTAGTTAGAAGTTAAAATTTATTTAGAATGATTTTGTATTTTTATAGAAATAAGAACTTAGTTACGAAGTAGTTATTTAGATAATTAATTTTTGTACCTTTCTGAAATTATAAACATAAACAGTGCTATGGTGCAGCATACCGTTATGAAAATCATTGCTGGCAGAGATTGCCTTTTTTGAGCAATGGAATGTGTACATTGTACGATACTAGAGTTATGGCTTGAGAGGAAATAGTACAGCACGTAATGGAGCATTAGGATGAGTTTTGTATCTTATCTCAAGACGGAGATGGAAATAATTTTAACACTTCTGCTGTCTATACTGTGCTGAAATGTAAGAAACTTGTGGCGTAACTACCACTACGATTTTTAAGCATCAATTCACTAGTACATAAGATACCGGCATGTATATAAGATGTGCTAACTTGGTTGTCTAATGGTCTATTCCCCACATTGGTGACTTGCGGATGCGATACGATCACGCCTACATCGATGGATGGTCCACATTGAATAGTTGACTTTCTAATTGTGACTGCGTCATCTTCCTCTTCACGCTGTTGCTTCTGTGTCTCATTTACACACAACTGATTTCTGCACACACTCGATTGCTAATAGCAACATAGGAGTGACCACATACACAACCATGAACTTAATATAGCTCTCATGGCTAAAGCTCAAAAAACCCGGTGACCTTAATCCAGCTCTCCCGGTCTTTCACAAATACAGCAATTAGTGGTATCCGTTCATCGAATTCTATCCCTAATAAAATTCTAATGTGGGAGTAAAGTAGCGTAACTACTACTACGATTTTTAAACATCAATTCACTAGTATAAAAGACATGATAACTTGATTCAATCTAGAGGTACTTTTTGATAGATGAAAGTTGGCATTGTCTAATGGTCCTTTCCCACAAACTTTTACGTACAGTAGTTTGTGTGTCTTACTGGCTGTCGGACAGATTTTAAATTATTACTAAAATTCAATACGTAAAGAACTTTAACAATATTGACGACATCTCTTGAAAACAGTTAAAATTGAAATAAAAGTACTTCATGATAGACGTTGAAAAAATTTTGTTAATTTGGTTTGACTCAAACTAATTAAGGTGTTATAATATGAAGATGGATTTAAGATATAGAATATTTAAATACAGTTGTGTTGAGTATTCAGCTTGCTTACCGTCAAAGTTAATATGTTGTGCATGACGGTGAAAGCACAAAGAGTCTAGTTGTTTTAAAATGCATTATTTACTAATAAAATAATGCATAATATTACTAACATTGATAAGGAATACTGTATTTTAAAATAAATTAAAAATATATATTAAATATATAAATACTTTAAAAACTGACGATGGTAAAAAACTGCAATGACAAAAAGGAAAGCTTTTTTAACAAAAAAATAATAGAATTTTTACTTAAAAATCATAAAGTTTCGAATGCTAATAAAAGTAGAAATTAAAATTTTTTATTTTTCAAACTAGTTATAAATTACAATAATTATTTTATGATACGGCTGCTTGCTGAATATTTATTACGAATTTTTGTGAAATATTTGTTTATATATTTAAAGTATTAGCTCAGTAAAAAAAATGCATAATTGATGATTTGTTCAATGATCTGATTAAACAATATTATTAAATAATGTTGAGAGTCACTATTACTGAGCTTTTATCAGATTTATAAAGAACTGGACAATTCAACAGATCAACAGTAAACATAAACGCTGTCAAGATTTAGATGAAACTAGATTACTTCATCAGGCTAATTGAACAATTACTCTTTTATAGTTCATATTAAACTCAACTAACTCTGTAAAACCAAAAGTTATCACGTATATTTTATTTTGTTTTGCAACCGTCGTTGAACAGCCGACCCAGTTTTGGGGATTACGACTACTAATGTTCAACTACGTAGCTTTGTATTTTTGAACCCAATCCAGAAAACAAGGGAACTACTGAATCAAGTATTGGGAGAACTTTTGATGCTACTAACCCACTTCGTGGAGGACTTCTTGATGGAACCAACCCACATTAGCATTACAAAGAGAGGGAAACCACGAGAACCTTTCACGGTTAGCCTGACGGCAAGGGGATTCTAACCCATGATCCGCCTACCAATGAGGATATTTCACGTCAGCACTGTGGTCGGTGTCAGATGGATGTGGAATTTTTATCGATCGGCCATCGCTGAGATTCGAACTCCGTTCACCTCATTGGAAGGCGAATGCTCTATCACTGAACACTCAGACTGAAACACCAAATAAATTAGCAGAATTTAGTGTTAACAAAAAACTTGCTGTGACACATACAAGCTGGATAACTCTCGCCATTAGCAGTTAACAGTCAGCAAATACTGTAGTAGATAGCCTTCACGCGGAGATAGTGAAAATTTACACGAATTTTTTTGCGGACATGTATAATGACTATCTCAAATATTTCTTTTGTAAGAATGCGAGATCGTATTCAATAAATTGTAGGAAAATTATTTTTAGAAAATATATTTGTTTACACAGGGTGAGTCTGAACAAGACGGCAAAACTTTATTTGGTGATAGAACAACAATATTCGTTATAGAAAGTATGAGTGAGCTGCTAGATGAAGTTGTAAATGATATTCAGCTTTCGTCAAGTCAATGATGTGGTTCCAGCAATATGATGCACCTGCACACTTCAACGTGGTTGCGCAGAACAGTTTAAATGCAGCGTTACCAGAGCAATGGATTGGTCGATATGGTTCCACATCTTTGCCACCAAGATCCCCAGATCTCTCGTGTTTGGAATTTTTCCTGTGGGACCACATGAAAGGTCTATTCAACAAGTGACCGCGATGTGGATTTGGTTACCAGGATGGCCGTTGTTGCCTGCTATATTAGGGAAATGCCTAGTGTTTTCACAAATGAACATCACTCTCTACACCGCAGGTGAGAAGCCTATGTTGCAACTAGCAGAAGATCTTATAAGCAATTTCTTTGAGCATCTCTCCGAGCAATTCTTTGTGTGCATCAATTACATCTTTCCTTTGAGCAATGTCTTTGACAATTAATCATATTCTCGTGAAAGTTTTCTGAAGCATCTGTTCCCATTCTCGAGATATGTGACAGTGGAAAACTACCTCTTAACTTCTCATTGGTGTTCCGATTATATGAATATTTCTCGTGTAGACGAGTTCCACCACCCAGTACAGTTTTGCATTCTTGCACCCTGTATACTTAGATTTTGTCAGATGTAATGTTACCTTGTCCATGATGATGATGACGACAAGATTGAGTGATGATGCTGTGATGGAAGTAGTGATCTTGGCGTATGTTTTCCAGATATCGTTATCACTTGCCATCAGCACTGTCACCAGAATGATTCTATATACAATCATTCCGAAGACAGTTGCCAACAGGAGGCTTAACTAGAAAAGAAAGGAAAAAAAATACGTTGTAATATGTAGACAAATAATAGACAAAAACATAAATGTACAGCATTTATGCTTTTGTCCTTCTCAAATATTTCATTCTAATCTCTAATATGCACGTTTTTTTTGCTTAGTATTTGACAGGAATTTTAAAAATTGTATATGAAGGATGTTTAACGGAACATCACGTACAGACTACTAACTTTATTAATTAAATCACAGGTGAAGTAAAAGAATTATTGTGTATGAAAAAAAGTCTGTACTGATAAAATGTCATTTAAAGCTTGGGGAGGTTCATTCACTCCACAAATGCGTGAATCCAATAATAGAGTCATATGACTTGCTTAAAATTTTATTTCTCAAGCCGGAACTACTCGACCGGATATCTCTCGAATTTTGTATTCTGCAATGTAAACTGATATTCTTTAAAAGGATGCGTAAAAATTTTTTTTCGACTATTATTAAATAGATGAAAAAATAATAAATATTTATAAAAAGTAATTTTTTGCGGATAATTATCTTTGGATGAACGTATCTAATAATTGTGAGCAAAATTTTTTAAATTGTCTTAAAAAGCTCTCAAGACATAGCAAGCTGGGTAAAGAGGGTAATTAACATTAAGGAGTCCAAACATTAAACCACTCTCTTGACTAAACTATCGGGACCATATTTTCTAGATTGAGCTCCCCTCTATATTTTGAGGGTCAGATATCCGAATCAGTAAAAAAAAAAAAGTATGTTTCTTCAGAGAAAGTACGTTTTTGTGTCTTATTTCGCAACTTAAAATATTGCCTGCACTAATTAATCAGCATATTTGAGATTTCCCCCTCGAACAATTGAGCGAAGATCGAACTAGAGCAAACTCGAAAGTGAAGATCCGCTCATTAGATCAAAAGTCATTCAGAGTTGTCTTATTTTATTTTATTATACACACTAAGCATCAACCTGTTACTTTTACTAAAATTTTCGTTCGCTAGTTGTTACCTAGTTGTATTACATAGCATTTTTTTAAAAAAAATTCTGATTATTAAACTTTTGCAATCTTTATTTATTAGACATTCCACAAATATATATATATATATATATATAAAATATGTGTATAAAATATGTATATATATGTAAAATATGTATATAAAATGTATATATATATATGTATAAAAGAAACTTAATACCTGTCAAACCATTTTTGTCAGAACAGTCCAGTACAACTCCATTCTTTGCCATAATTTCAATGATTAGCATTGTTTGCAGCAGCCCATAAAATTGCTTTCCTTCCACTGGCATCAGCAATGTCATAAATGAAAGATCTCGATAAAAATGTTTCCACAACTTTCTAGNATCCATTATTAAAATAATATTTCATTTGATTCTGATGATTCCTTCATGGTGTTGCATTTTCTACAAACAGCAGTTTATATAGCCTAGTTGAGTGAACTTTGCCCACAAACCGCATAAAAACCCTTTTTTTCGTAAATGTTACAATCATATGTATATCAAAGTCATATGTTGAAGTGATATAAATTAAATAGTAAAAGGAATACAAAATAAAAGAATACTCTTTCATTGTAATCAATAAAAATCAATTCAAAATTTCACTTTTATCGTTTATGTTTGATACCAAGTCAATACGCCATTGTACTCACCACAAAAAGAACGGCTGAATGTGCTGCTGCTATTCTATAAACTTTACTCCAAAATGGAAGAAATGGCTCGATTGCCTGTGAAATTAATAAAATGTCAACCACATTACATAAATCTTAAAACAAAATGAGGCTTATTGTTAAAAGTTTTGGAACTAGAGGTAGCTAAAGAGGGAAAATTAGTTTGGTTAATGAACTACTATCATAAGCAAGAGGTAAAAAAAGTTGACAAGACAAAGCTAGCAGGTGCGAAATGCTTATACGCTTGAATGTGTGCAAGTTTTTTTTTTGTTTGAGTTGTACACGTAAGAAAATATTCTTACCATTGTAACTGGATTAAGGCGGTAATGTTTAACAGAAGTTTCGTATTCAGGCCTAATTTGTTCCTGAAAGTATAAGAGATAGAAGAAAAAACAATAATGAACTAAAAAAGCATAGGATAATAGGTTAAAGAGTAAAAGTATAACTAAACAAAAAAATAACTAATCGGAAAGTTAAAAGAATAGAGATTTAAAAACTAAAGTCAGTGATTAATTTATGTTAAAATATGCGCTAAAGAGTTGGGACCATCGGAAAGGAGGTATAGGATTATATTTGATTTACAGGATTAAATTTTAATGCAAACTTGCCATAAGCACAGTAATAAAGCCACTTATACAGTCGAACCTACACCCTTGTGCAAATTAATTGAAACAAATTCAATAAATTCAGAAAACTAAGAGAAAATGCTATTTTATTTAAATTTATACAAACTCAAACATTTTCAGTACATAATATGATCTCCACGACACTTTATTTGGACACGATTCGGCATGGTTTCCACTAATTTTTTACAGTCATTTATAATATTTGTGTCCTCGTACCACACATGAATTAACGCCGTGATTAGCTTCTCCATAGTTGTACCGTCCATATTTAATGGGCGATTCTTGCATATGGCCCAGAGATTCTCAATTGGGTTGATATCCGGAGATTTCCCTGGCCATGCCAATGTCTCAATTTGATTCTCAGACATGAATTTCTTGACAATTTTGGACGTAGGGCAAGGAGCTAAATCCTGTTGAAAAATCCCTGTTCCATCAGGGTATCGTTTCTTCAACTCTGGAACAACTTTTTTACCCAGAATAGTAATGTACTGCTCAGAACGCATCATACCGTCAATAGGCTGCAAAGGTCCAACCCCATTGTAACCGAAACAACCCCAAAACATCTTCTTAGAAAACACGAAAAAAAAGTTTGTTTCAATTAATTTGCACAAGGGTGTAGATTTATCGTTCCCACTTGATTTTCCGTATGGCTCGTCTTGTTCTAACGGTCCCGTCACAAATGCACTTTTATAATGCTAATAATACCCGTTTACATCGTTTTTGAAACTGGCAGATACCCGCATCTAACTTCAGAAATTCTACTGATAATTTCCTATTAATTTTGAAGTTTTGAAAAAAAAATCAGTAACTCCTGATGGTAATGTTATGTAATGTAAAATGAGGATTTGTTGCAGTTTTGAAAAAAACGCCTTAAACATCATATTTGATGTATATGCATCAGTTGATGAAAATGCTGAAACTTTCGAGGTTGTCGGTTCCACAAATGATTGCAGAAGCTGAAGACGTGCCATGCGATACCGATGGAGTAAATAAATTCAGCCGAAACCAGTGAGAACAATTGCGGAAGGCCTTGAAATAATAAAGAATTTTCTGTATTCATACGAACTAACAGGAAATGAAAAGCAATCTGTTATACATAGCGAAAATTTATTGCTTGTGATATCAAAAATTTTTTGTGGAAGTCTCTTTTCCAGTTTTGTTATAAGGAGGCATGATTTTCAATAATTTCAAAAATTCATGATTATACTAGATACTTAAACAGTGCACCCCCCTCCCAAAAAAATGGATCACTCTGAAAAACTCTGAAAATCACTCTCCGTTCCAGGATTCAAACTTAATGGCTCGAGAGAGTGACTTCTAATATGCTAATTAATTAGCACAGCCGATATTTTAAGTTACGAAATCAGACACAAAAACGTACTTCTTTTTTGAATAAATATACCTTTTTATCGACGGATTCGGAATTCTGAACCCGAAGATATGGTGGATAGTCGCAATCTGGAAAGCATGATCCCCATAGTTTGGTCTGGAGAGCGATCCAAAATTTGGAGCCCTTAATGTTAATTCTACTTTTTACGTATTTCGTTATATCTCAAGGATTTTTCATGCGAATTGAAATATTTCTGCACATAATTATAAATTTTGTTGCTTCAAAGGAAATTACATGCAAAAGATAAATTTGAGTAATTATTTATAATTTTTTAATACTTTATTAAGTAATAATCGAAAAAAAATTGAATTGTAAGGTATAAAATTTTTTACACCATTTTAAAGTATGCAAGCTACGAAATTTGGACAAAATCGATTTTATTTTATTTTATAACCGTCGTTGAACAGCCGACCCAATTTCATGGGTTTACGACTACTAATGTTCAACTCCGTAGCCTTGTAATTTTGAACCAATCCAGAAGACAAGGAAACTCCTGGATCAGTACCCCCAGAGGTATTGATTTGTTGTGGGAACATGGAGGACTTTGAGACTCGACAGATTTAGCGTGCATCAGTCACCATTTACTACACGGGGAGTCTTCTGCCGGCAAGGATCGAACCCACGACCTCTTGGATATGGGCCCAGCGCCCTACCGACCAGGCTATCCCGGCCGGGCAAAATCGATTGAATAGTTTCTGAGAAATCAAACTTTAAAGAAGTCGAAAATTTATTCGATTTCTCAGAATCTATTTTGACTGAATTTTGTTTTTCGCCAAGTAGAATTACATATTTTAAAATGGCGTAAAAATTTTATACCTTAAAATTTAAAATTTGTTCGACTATTATTAAAAAAAACAATAAAAAATAATAAATAAATACTAAAATTTATTATTTTACATGGAATGTAAACGTTTTTACATGAAATGCATCTTTGGAAAAACGAAGTTTATAATTGTGCGCAAAAATTTTTCGATTCGCTTAAAAAATTCTCGAGATATGACAAAGTACGCAAAAAGTAAAATTAACATTAAGTAGCGCAAACTCTTTTTTTTTTTGCATCGTAAAATTTTTACATTAAGTACTTAATTTTTTTGCAATTTAATTTTTAGATAAACTTATTTATTTTTAAGTCCATTACGACTTTATCATTTATTGTATATTGTAAAATGACTCGCTTTCGCCGTTTTTCCGCATCTATAGTCTGTTATTATTGGTCCCATAAGATACATTAGGAAAATGTCTAGAACAAACAAAAGCACAACTGTTCTTTGTTTCAAATTATTACTACGTTTACTTTCAAGTGTTTGCTTTGTACTTTGACAAAGGAAATTTTAAGAGTTAGCTTTGTACGTGACTCTGAAGCGAAAATACGTATTTCAAAGACTTGCAGAAACGTATTTTTTCAAAACTAGTATTTATGTTTCCTAGAATTATTTTTTTCGAAGCTCAGACGGCTGGACAACAGGACTACACAAACTAACGACGCACATACAAATTGATTTTTTTTTCACTTCAAAAGTTGTTGAAGAAATTTTTTCTCAAAAAAGAAAAAAAATGATATAAGTACATAGTTTTTATACATATAATATACACTGCCAGAAATTTCTCGGAAAAAATGGTTAAATAACTATTTATTTAAGCGTTATTTTAACATATTAAACCAAAACAGTCAATTAACCGTAAAATTGCTAACTGTGAAAAAATCGTTTATTAACTGTTTTTTTCCTGTTTCACTTTAACAACCAGAAATTTATTCACGCCAACTGGGCTCTAAGCCAATGAGTAATTGTGAGCTAAGCCGTGTGATAAGAATTAAGAATCCGTATTTTTATTTTTCATCGTCGGTTGAGTAACGCAACAGCAGATAATTATTAAGTAATAAGAGTATGATGAACACATTATAAAACCATTTAGTACTTTGCTATTGGGTATAAAATTTAGCTAAGAGTACGAATCTGTCAATGAACGGGGGCACAAATCCCAGCGTTGACACAGCAATGTTTCCTCTATTTCTTCAACACATGAAGGGTTTCTTGTGTAATGTACTCCTTAATCAGTGACTCTAGACCAGGGTGTTTCCAACTTACATGAGGCCGGGGGCCGCAATTAAAACACCAGTCAAATGACGGGCCGCAACTTTATCAAAATTTTATATAGGACTCTTTTATGTTTGAAGGAACATTAAATATTACTGTCAGATTTTAATCAAGTAGTACAAAACAAACGTATTGAATCACAAATTAAAATAAGAAGTAGATTTTTAAGCAACACCCAGGATTAATTTTGCATTTGAATAAATATTTTCTTGGATGCAAAACCTGAGAAATAAATTTTTCTGCACCGTTGGTATGTTAAATTTTACAGAAACAGCGAAATTAGTTTTTTTTTTAAACGAAAGAAAAATATTTTAAACACATATAGTTTTTTTACGAAAATTGTCAACAAAAAATGAGAACTAATATATTTTATTTCGCGGGCCACAGAAAAAGGCTTCGTGGGCCGCCATTTGCTAACCACTACTCTAGACTATTGGAACACGGAAATCTAATTCATGTATGGATTGCTGCACCACAGAACTGCTTAACGCGAAAAATTGTAGTATTTTTCATACCCGGGGGGGGTCTCAAAGTAGCAAAATTTATATTATAAAATACAGTCTTCGCTTTTTTCTTCAAAAAAAAAAAAATTTATAAATAAATTTTTTTACTTACCACAGACATTCGGAAACTTATTGCATGTGTCTGATACATTGTAAATGGATATTATCTAAATTGCGAAATTATGGAAGAGTTTGAATTGTTTTGATAAATAGTTTGATGGCACTTGAATATTTTGTTCGGATTTTTAGGAGCCCTGCATATGTCACAAAAAATGACTAGACTATTTAAGCCCCATTCCATGGTTCAACTGACAAAACACAACTCGAACACAACCTAACAACAACCTCCATTACATTATGAATATACCTAACATAAATTCAATGTGCAGTTAAATTTCATTTTCATGTTTTTGAAACCATGCTAGTGGTTGCAAAGTGCTTTAATCAATGAAAACTTAAAAAAATGGCTTCGCATTCATCAAAAGTTTTTAACCAGTGAAATAGTAAGAAAACTAGCTATTTAAGACAATTTTTTCAACTACTCTCTAAATATAACAATATATTCTTTTTAGAACTATTTATATTTTTGAATAATAGTTATGATGCCGTTAAATTATTAAAAAAAGACCAACTTTTGCATTTCAAAATTAAATTAAATTCGCTCATAATTACGAATTCCACATCGGGGTTTGGTTGGTTGACCGATGATTTAATAGCATTCCAGCGCTCCCCGTTTATGCTCATGAACAA